AAAAAAAAAAAAAAAAAAAAAGATGGAGTTACTGGACATAAATGTCTAACAGCCTATGAATTCCTGCTTATTCTCACAACTTAACTTTTTTTTAAGTTCCCTTTGTGAGCACACATACAAGCTCACAAACCTTTTAAACATTTAACAAGAAAAGGAAGACTAGGAGTATCTGCCTTGACTTTCTTTCAGAAGTAATTAACCAAATTAAACTTTCCATAGAAATTTACAAATCAAATCCATGGTAAAGTGTATTATTTCGGGGGGGGCAGGGGGGAGGGGGCGGGGGAAGGAGAGGGCGGGCAGTGGTGGCGCACACCTTTAATCCCAGCACACAGGAGGCAGAGGCAGGCGGATCTCTGTGAGTTCGAGGCCAGCCTGGGCTACAGAGTGAGATCCAGGACAGCCAGGGCTACACAGAGAAACCCTGTCTCAAAACAAAAAGTAAATCAAGCAAAAACTTATGCTTCAGCCACGAAAAGCCAGCACAGCCCCTGACGTGCTGCGGCAGCCGGGTCTGCCTGGGTAACACAGCTGACGCGGAGGAAGACTGTGCAGCCAGAGAAGACGCTGGCTTTACTGTGAAAAATGACACGCACGTGTCCACGTAGACATCGGGGAGTGTATGCACTGAAAAACTGTCGGCAGTGAAGTGTCTGCAGAACTGTTCCAGGGCTGGCACGGGAGACATGCCCGACAGCAACAGAGTTCATAGACCCCCCCACCGCAATGTCGGGGGCGTGGTCAGGGTGGAGCCCCGCCCAGAGTCCCCAGTGAGGGGCTGGGGGCGTGGTCAGGGTGGAGCCCCGCCCAGAATCCCCAGTGAGGGGCTGGGGGCGTGGTCGGGTGGTATCTTAGTCCATGAGAGGTCACAGGTCACCCTCATCACTGCAAAACAAAATCCCGGAGCCAGGAGTGACTCCCAGACACGGTGGAGAGGATCCGAGCGTTGACCTTATGCAAATATCTACAATCTGAGCGTGAGTGAGTGACAGGTATCCTTCCTTGCAGCAGATGGCCAGCGGAACCTTCCGGAAGGAAACTGAAGTTAGGGAATCATTAACGGCGGATCAGAGACCACGCATGCTCGGAGCATTTTCCCACAGGTTATCCATTGACAGGAAGCGTAGGAACAATTAGGGCCGGGGTGTGTCAAAGTCTGCAGCCGCTGTAAGGGCACACGAGAGCGGCACGGGCCCCTGACACCACCACCATGCACACACACCACCACCACGCACACACACACCACGCACACACACACCACGCACACACACACCACGCACACACACACCACGCACAC